CACACCATCTCTCCGCTCTCTCCTCCGCCTCTTTCTCTTTCTTCCTCTTTCTCTCTATCCTTCTGAGAGGATAAAATAAACTTTTTTTTTACTTTTACTTTTATTTTTTTTTTATTTTTTTATTTTTTTTTTTTTTGAGACAGAGTCTCGGTTTGTTGTCCAGGCTAGAGTGAGTGCCGTGGCGTCAGCCTAGCTCACAGCAACCTCAAACTCCTGGGCTCGAGCGATCCTTCTGCCTCAGCCTCCCGAGTAGCTGGGACTACAGGCATGCGCCACCATGCCCGGCTAATTTTTTATATATATATATCAGTTGGCCAATTGATTTCTTTCTATTTATAGTACAGACGGGGTCTCGCTCTTGCTCAGGCTGGTTTTGAACTCCTGACCTTGAGCAATCCGCCCGCCTCGGCCTCCCAAACTTTTACTTTTATATCTTAATTTCTGCATGAGAAATCTTTCTCCACCTATGCCGTGATGACCTATAAGGCTTTCCACCCCTAACACTCCCAGACTCTACAACTCCCAGCTGGGAGAGCTGGTCATTAGCTGCTGTTTCTATGTATCAGTAGGAAGCTCCTTTCTGGAGTGAACACAAAAGCATTTGGCAATTTTTAAGGATTTTACCTATAAAACAAAAGACATTCCTTCCTTATTTCCTGACTACAACTCCCCCCCGCCCCCCCACTGCCCCAACACACACACACACCCTGTACCCTTGGTACATGGAAAAAGAAAGTAGTAAGTCTACACTAATCTTAAATTTACTACAGATGGTTTGGCTAATTCAGTTCAAATTAAATTCTTTTCTTTGCTTATCCAGTCCCTTTCACACATGGGAATTAGCCCTTGGAGTTAAATTCCTTTATAAAGTTCCTATTGTATGACTGGGGGTAATTTCTTAATAGTGAGTGGTAATGCTAGATCTATGATTGCTCAAACAGATGGAGGAGTTTAGAATAAAGATCTAATGATTACCAATTAGATTGGCCTGTTGGTCACAACCCAAGAGAAGGGGTCTGAGGCCCTGCAGCTCTTTACATTATCAGGGTGTGGTTTTTGAAGTACCTTGCTTCTGTGGAATCATAAGTGTCAATATCTACTTTTAAAAACATTGAAGCCTTTTAAAACATGTAATAAAAAACACATGTTTAAATGTGCTATGCAGGCCAGGCACAGTGGCTCACACCTGTAATCCTAGTACTCTGGGAGGCTGAGGTGGGAGGATCACTTGACGTCAGGAGTTCAAGGCCAGCCTGAGCAAAAGCGAGATACCCATCTCTACTAAAAATAGAAAAATTAGCTGAGCATGGAGGTGCGTACTTGTAGTCCTAGCTGCTACTCAGGAGGCTGATGCAGGAGGATTGCTTGAGCCCCAGGATTTGAGGTTGCTGTGAGCTAGGCTGATGCGAGGGCACTCTACTCAGGGCAACAGTGTAAGACAATGTCTTAAAAAAAAACAAAAAACAAAAAGAAAATATGCTATGCAACTAATTTTAACACACCGAAAACCACCTGGACCAGATGCTAAAATAAACTCCTTGCTGTTTCTATTTGATAGAAGACTGTTCTGAGGTCATAGGGTGAGCTGTTAAAGCTTTTTTTTGCAATAACTTCTCTGTAAATTAGACCTTTCTCAGTACTGTGCAACCAAAACAAAAGAGGAAAAAAAAAACTGCTGAGGATGACACTGGAGGGCAACTGTTAATCTCTAATCCCTGATTTCAAGTTTTTATATACATCATTATAACATCACACTAATTAAAACTGCTTTAATGTATATTATATAATGAGGTTCCTACTTAAAATTTCAGCAAATAATACCTCTCTGTAAAATAAAAAACTTGAAAACTATTGCTTTGGATTATGTTGCAGAATTTCCAGGGTTGGAAACATACTCAGAGTAAGTCTGGAGTCTAGCCCTCTCATAGTGGCAAGTTGCATTTTGCTCCCTAGCAAATATATCCCTAATTTTCTCTTACAGAATGAACCCTCCCACATTATAAATGGACTTGTGGGACTGTCAAAGTTTGGGTACCACTTTCTTGAGTATCACATGAGGTCACTCAGACTCTCTCCCCTGGGAATTTGAATTCTGAATGGTCCAATGCAAGGACTGAAGAGGTTGGGAGTTGACTTATCCCTGTGGCCTTGCCCTGAAGACATTGTCCATTGGTTTCTGCAACCTGGCTCCTCTAGTACCCCTGAGAGTCTTGTCTTTCCTGAGGTCTGTAGTACAGCTTTTCCTTTGAGGTCCCCAAACCTCTCCAGTAAACCAACCCCCACCTTTTTTGTTTTTATGCTTAAACTAGCCAGAGCTGTTTCTGTTGTTTGCATCCAAAATACTCTGATTTACTTTTCACTTTGTAAATGGGGAAATGGTAAATGGGGAAAGAAGTCACATCAAAAGTTACTTGTTCAAAGCCACACTATGATAATTTGGGGCACAAGTTTAAGGCTATGCTATACAGGAGGAAATGATCCTGAACCAATAGGCACAAAGGTAAAGCAAATCTTTCTAGGACAAAGTTCATTGTGTGTGTGTGTGTGTGTGTGTGTGTGTGTGTGTGAGAGAGAGAGAGAGAGAGAGAGAGATTGAGACAGAGATAGAATGAATAATGGTGTTGGAAATGGGGTGTCCAAGATCTTCATAATGATGGAACCATAACTCTAAGCCACAAATGTGAGTTTTCAGTTCTAGTCATCAGACCAGGTAGAGTTTTGCAGAGGTCCAGAACCATGGCCTCAGTACCCTAAGGCTTGAGGAGGAATTTTGAAAAGGTGGAGGAATCTCAGGATTTCAATCTGAAGGGGAACTTGGGCAGGTAAATACCTGACCAGGGATCTGAATAAATAGAAGAACTGAGAGTTTGAGGGACTAGACCACATGCTAACAGTGGTTCCAGCCTCTAACAAGAGCCAATGAACCGGCCGGGCGCAGTGGCTCACGCCTGTAATCCTAGCCCTCTGGGAGGCCGAGGCGGGCGGATTGCTCGAGATCAGGAGTTCAAAACCAGCCTGAGCAAGAGTGAGACCCCGTCTCTACTATAAATAGAAATAAATTAATTGGCCAACTAATATATATGGAAAAAATTAGCTGGGCATGGTGGCACATGCCTGTAGTCCCAGCTACTCGGGAGGCTGAGGGAGGACTTGAGCCTAGGAGTTGGAGGTTGCTGTGAGCTAGGCTGGCACCACGGCACTCTAGCCAGGGCAACAGAGTGAGACTTTGTCTCAAAAAAAAAGAGCCAATGAACCATAAGCTCTGTAAGGAGAGGATCCATTTTGGACTTCTTCCCCACTATATTCACAGTGGCACATAGTAGGTGCTCAATACACATTTGCTGAATGAATGAAAGAATGGGTTGGTCTTCTATGTGGTTGTCTGAACAAAGCCAGGCAAGTAGCTTTGTTACTGATAGGTTTCTAATGGAGTAATTCTTTTCTTTCTTTTTTTTTTTTTTTTGAGACAGAGTCTCACTTTGTTGCCCAGGCTAGAGTGAGTGCCGTGGCATCAGCTTAGCTCACAGCAACCTCAATCTGGGCTCAAGCAATCCTGCTGCCTCAGCCTCCTAAGTAGCTGGGACTACAGGTATGTGCCACCATGCTCGGCTAATTTTTTGTATATATATTTTTAGTTGGTCGATTAATTTCTTTCTATTTTTGGTAGAGACGGGGTCTTGCTCAGGCTGGTTTCGAATTCCTGACCTCCAGCCATCCGCCCACCTCGGCTTCCCAGAGTGCTAGGCGTGAGCCACCACGCCCGGCCTCTTTTTTTTTTTTTTTTTTTTGAGACAGCATCTTACTGTGTTGCCTAGGCTAGAGTGAGTGCCTTGGAGTCAGCCTAGCTCACAGCAACCCCAAACTCCTGGGCTCAAGCAATCCTGCTGCCTTGGCCTCCCAGAATGCTAGGATTATAGGCGTGAGCCACTACACCCGGCCTAATACTACATCTTTATATTTGTTTATATTTCAACTGTGAGTGAAGTCTTGTATGGTCTGTAATTGTGTAAGTATTGATAAATTTTAAGTTTTTATAATAGATTTGTACATACTTTATGGTAGAAAATGATAAAATAGACTAGTATCTACATATATTTTATGTATTCATAACATACCTAACTTTTTTCTTAAGTTTTTCACTATTTCTAGCCTACAAGTTTCACCTGTGAGTTTTTCAAATTGTCACAGATCTCCAAAAAATTTTCCAATATATTTTTTTAAAAAAGCATCCACATGTAAGTGGACCTGCACAGTTCAAACCTGTGTTGTTCAAAGGTCAACTCTTTTTTTTTTAAGTTTTAATTTTATTTTTAAATTTTATTATTATTATTCTGTGGGGTTTTTTTTTTTTTTTTTTTTTTTTTTTTTTTTGAGACAGTGTTGCCCAGGCTAGAGTGAGTGCCGTGGCATCAGCCTAGCTCACAGCAACCTCGAACTCCTGGGCTCAAGCAATCCTACTGCCTCAGCCTCCCGAGTAGCTGGGACTACAGGCATGCTCCACCATGCCTGGCTAATTTTTTCTATATATTTTTAGTTGTCCAGCTAATGTGTTTCTATTTTTCAGTAGAGACGGGGTCTCGCTCTTGCTCAGGCTGGTCTCAAATTCCTGAGCTCAAACAATCCACCCGCCTCGGCCTCCCAGAGTGCTAGGATTACAGGCTTGAGCCACCGCACCTGGCCTCTAATGTAGTAATTGTTAAGCTTTGCTTTCCTGGCCTCACCCACCACTGAGGGCCAAATGGTGCCTGGTTGGTGAACAGTGTCTGGAAAACACAAGGGCAGTGGCTGCAATCTGTTCCCAATAGTCTCATTATTAATGACCTTTACTCAGCAGCAGTTGTGGTACAAGGAACAAAAGGTTCCTGTGCTTGCAGCCTAAATGATAGCAAAACAAGCAACTGGCAGCTTTTCTGTGTGTGGGAGGTGTGTATGTGCGTGTGTGTTCTTGTGTTAAGGCACAGAGAAACAACACTACCTTGGATTTACAACAAGGACAGGAATGATTATTTCCTATTTTATAAACAAGTAAATGGAAGCACAGACACAAAGACTTGCCGAGCGTGCAGAACTGTGTTGACAACCTAGCCTGGAGCACCCAGCTTCTCTTCTTGTGCTCTGTCCAGGTGGTTGTCACTCTATCCATTGCAGGGTCCAGCTGGATAGAGGCGTTTACCTCATCGTTTCCATACTAGCTCTGTCCTTATAGGCATAACCTCGGTCTCCAGTTGGGAAAAGGTCCTTGGAAAGAAGAGAGTTTTAAGGTATGTGAAAGGGAAGACTACAAGTGGATAAGTGGGATGGGGACAGGGGTGGCCCCACCTGTGATGGACCCTGAGCCCTCACTGTCCTTACCCACAGAGATACATAGTGGTTACCAGGGCTGGGGTAACCGGCTCAACATTTTTGTGTCTCATAGACTCTCTCTAGAAACATTCTTGGCATAGGCCTTTTTTGTTGTCTTCTGCTACCACCATTGTTTGCAGTTCCCTTGCTCATGCTTAGACATAGTGATTCCTAGGGGAAGAGCTCCAGCTGATGAGGGCCACTGACAGGTGGCATTTCTTAGCTTTTCTCCCCACTGGCAGGGATGCCCCCAGCCAACCACAGCAAGTAGATGATGTCATTTGGAGCCCTTCCCCTAAAGGTGCTGGGAATTTCCATGTGACCTACCCACCCCTTCCTCACAGACCCTTCTCCCCACCTCTGCCCCCTCACTCTCTGAAGCACTATCCAGGGGCTCCCCTTCCCTGGGTCCTTCCAGAGATACAAAGCTGCACATTAGTTTCTCACAGACCTATGAGAGTCTTTAAGGATAGAATTCCTGGGAACAGCTTGGGACACTTTGGGCAACAGGTTCCTAATATTCAGTACAATGATTGCTGCCTACTCAATTGAGCCCAGGCGCCCACTGCCTCCTTACTGGCTGACAGAGCTGGGGTGGGGAGTGAGGAAGGATCCCTGAATCCTTGTTTCCTACTTAAGAGCCTGAACTCTAAGATATCAGAGTTCAAGACGCCTGGGAACCAGAGGTCGGTGTTCATTTAGCCTAGGATGGGAGAAACTCCTCCCAGGTCCCAGCACCTCTGTGAACCCTTGTTTGGGACCCGCCTAAGGGTCTAGGATCCTCAGCCCACAGCCTTCTGGCTTGAGGGACTCACAGCAAATGTCCAGTCACAGCTGGCTGCCCGCCTTTATCCATAAAGCCTCCCGGGCCCGACAGCCTGGCGAGACTGTGTACCAGGCTGTAACGTTTCCTGGCTTTTTTCGGGGGCGACCGAGCTCCTTGGAGGAAAGGGCGAAAGACTGAGTGACTGCTCCTTACTGGCTTCTTTCTGCCAGTAAGGAGGCGGCCTCGGTGTTCCCAGGTTTAAAGGTAGGGGGCACATCGTCCCCGACGCCTAGATCCGGAGACGGGATCGCCGGTAGTGCCCGTGCAGGGTGGGGACGACCCCAGGAGACTGGCGCGGCGCAGCCCGCGGGACTTCGCGGCGAGGGGGCTCGGACCGCGAGCTTTCGCGTCCTTTACGGAAACAGCCACGCACCTTTGAGCAGCCTACGTGTACTTTATTTCGATTTTAGCCCAAGCCAGGTCTCCTTGAAGTCCCGCCTCCTGGACGCTCCGCTCGCGCCCGGTCCTAGAAAGCCACCCCGACCAGCGGTCACCTGCCAGAGGGGCGCCGGCGTCCCGAAGCTGCGCGCCGCGGCGGCCAGGCTCAGCAGTAGGGGTTGAGCACGCGGCAGGAGCAGGCGCTGCGGAAGAAGCGGCAGTGGCAGTAGGCGCACGGGTCGCAGCAGGCTGGCGCTGGCGGCTTGCAGCTGAAGCGGGTGGCCACGCAGGGCGCGGGCGGCGGGGGCCGGGGCTGCGCCACCTTCTTCACCGAAGCTTCTTTCTGCGGGGGAAACGCCAGGCTGCCCGAGCCGACCACACCCGCCCCCTCGTCCTCACCTCTGCCTGGGAACTCGTTGGGCTGTGAAGGCCTGGGACCAGACACCCCAGTCGGGCTGCCCACTGTCCGCTGGAATCGTGCCCATATGGACCCCAGCGGGTCTCTGCTTGCTCCCCCAATCAGGTGCCACCCCATCTGCTCCCCCAGTCAGGTGCCACTCTGCCTCCTCCCCATCCCTGGCTCTGGCCTGGCCGTCTTTTCTCCCTAGGAGGTCCTACTCAGTTTCAGTTTTTGACTTGTGTTTTCTGACTTCCAATCTGTCTGCACTCTCTGCCAGTTCTGCCTTCACAATAGAGACCCACTTCTCCATTTCCACTGCTGCTACCCTGAGCCATACCACCATCTTTTCTCCTCTGTCACTCTGACCCCCTTAATGTAAGTAAGCAGTCCACTCAGTGCACCAAAGAGATTCTCTATGAAGACCTATGATCGCATCCCACACTAGCTTAAACACTCACAGTAGTTTGTCTTTGCGCTTAAACTGAAACAGAAACTTTCTTTTGGCCCTTGAGACCCTCTGTGGTTTAGCACCTGTCCACTTCCCAAGCCTGACTCTACCAAGCTGTGCCGATGGCCTGCCTTCTGTGCACGGAACATAGCAAAGGAGTTCCTGCTGCAGGACCTTTGAGCTTGCTGCTCCCATTCCTGGGGACATTCTTTGCTAGCTGTCCCATATAGGTGGCTACTGGGTATTTGAAATGTGTCTAGTGGAACTGAGGACATGAATTTTCAAATTTTATTTAATTTTAATTAATTTAAACTTAAAATTTAAAACTGAAGCAGTGTTAAAAATTTTTTTCCCATTAAACACAACTTTGTTTTGTTAGAACTATGTTTCACCTTGTTGAAAATTGAGCATTGGAATTGAGATGTGCTGTAAGTGTAAACTATGCACCAGATGGCAAAGATTTAACAAAAAGAATGTAAAATATTTCAATAACTTTAAAAAGAAATTACATATTGAGATGTAAATATTTTGGATATAAAATATATAATGTTAAATAAAATATTAAAATTAATTGTACCTGTTTCTGTTTACTTTTAAAAAATGTGGCTATAGAAAATTTAAAGTTATATATGTGGCTCATGTTGTATATCTATTGGACATTGCTGCTCCAGGTTACTGAGTTTTTCAGTCTTTACCTAAACACTGCTTCCTTAGGCCTTCCCTGACCACTCTTCCATTCACTCTCTCTCATTACCATGCTTTATTTCTTCCCAGCCTTTATCATCTGAATTTAGTCACCTACTTACTGATGTGCTTGCTGTGTACCTGTTTTTCCCCACAAGAATATAAACTCCCTGAGAGCAGAGATATATCTTTCTTGTTCACTGCTATATTCCCAGTGTCTAGTATGTAAATTTATTTGTCAATTATATATTCTTATCTGTCAATAATCTGATCTGCTTATTCACTTTACAGCCAGCAAAACAAGCCTAGAGAGGAACAGGGACTTTTCTCAAGATCACATAGTTCTAGGTGCTACCTCCTAATACCTAGTCTAATATTCCTTGCTCTAGTTACAGTTAATCTGATAAACTGAGGCACACTAAAACAGGAATAAAGTGTGCATTTCATCAATGCTTTAACCCAGTATTTCCCAAAGTGTGAGAACCTGTATTAATGGTGATATTATTTTAGGTGGTACATGAATATTAAATGAACCTGAATTACATAGAAATGATTCTTTTTTCAATCCCTTTCAACCTGAAAGGCTCAGTGTTGTGTCAGTATGTCTTTAATGCCTCTCCAACACTTTCTAATCTGCCTTTTAACAGAGAGATCAGGCCTCACGTTTAGAACGTTTGGCAAGCTAATACCATCCAGCCAGAATTCACCAACAATGTTTTATTTTCACGTTACCTATTTTTATAATATTTTATTTTCATGTTACCTATTTTTATACCTATTTTTATCATCACCTTCTATTTATGGCAAGTGATACTGGTTTCTTATCATAGTTATATACAGTTGACCCTTGAACAACGTGGGGGTTAGAGGAACTGACCCCAGAGCAGTCCAAAATCTGCATATAACTTCTGACTCCCCCAAATTTAACTACGAATAGCCAACTGCTGACTAGAAGCCTTACTGATATATAAATAGTCAATTAGGCCAGGCTCGGTGGCTCACGCCTGTAATCCTAGCACTCTGGGAGGCTGAGGCGGGCAGATTGCTCGAGGTCAGGAGTTCGAAACCAGCCTGAGCAAGAGTGAGACCCCGTCTCTACTATAAATAGAAAGAAATTAATTGGCCAACTAATATATAGAGAAAAAATTAGTCGGGCATGGTGGCACATGCCTGTAGTCTCAGCTACTCGGGGGGCTGAGGCAGCAGGATCGCTTGAGCCCAGGAGATTGAGGTTGCTGGGAGCGAGACTGATGCAACGGCACTCACTAACAAAGCAAGACTCTGTCTCAAAAAAAAAAAAAAAACCAACAGTCAATTAACACATATTTTGTATATGTTATATGTGTTATTATACTGTGTTCTTAACAATAAAGTAAGCTAGGGAAAAGAAAATGTTACAAAGACAATCATAAGGAAGAGAAAATACATTTATAGTACTGTACTGAATTTTCAATACTGTAAGTTTACATCATCTGTTTATAAGATGAATTGTCCATCTCAAATGGCAGCTACAGACTTCAGTCTGTGGTACATATCAAGCAATTTAACTTTTTCTTGTAATGTCATGACTTTTTTCTGCTTCTTGGGAGCACTTCCAGCATCACTAGTGGCATTTCATATGAGTCCCATGGTATCATTCAAGTTTTATAGTATTGCATTAAACTTGAAAAATACCCAAGAACTGTGAGAAATCACTTGTTACTGCAATACCCAGTTTGCTAGAGAGATGAACTAACTTGGAGATGATTTGCATTATATGGTGTTTTAAGAAGATACTAGCAATACTTGAGTTCACTGCAATGGCAACAGGAGGTGGCTATGAAATTATTACAGTAGTATAAGATATACTATAGTTAATTTTATGTAGTTATGATTTAATACTACATCTTTTTTTTTTTTGAGACAGAGTCCACTTTGTTGCCCAGGTTAGAGGTGAGTGCCGTGGTGGTCAGCCTAGCTCACAGCAACTCAAACTCCTGGGCTCAAGTGATCCTCCTGGCTCAGCTCCCGAGTAGCTGGGACCACAGGCATGCACCACATGCCGGCTAATTTTTCTATACAATTAGTTGGCAATTAATTCTTTCTATTATGGTAGAGACGGGGTCCGCTCTTGCTCAGGCTGGTTTCGAACTCCTGACCTCGAGCAATCCGCCTGCCTTGGCCTCCCAGAGTGCTAGGATTAGAGGCGTGAGCCACCACGCCCGGCCAATACTACATCTTTTTTTTTTTTTTTTTTGAGACAGAGTCTCGCTTTGTTGCCCAGGCTAGAGTGAGTGCCGTGGCGTCAGCCTAGCTCACGAACCTCAAACTCCTGGGCTCAGCATGCTCCTGCTCAGCCTCCCGAGTAGCTGGAATACAGGCATGCACCACCATGCCGGCTAATTTTTTTTTCTATATTAGTTGGCAATTAATTTCTTTCTATTTATAGTAGAGACGGGTCTCGCTCTTGCTCAGGCTGGTCTCGAACTCCTGACCTCGAGCAATCCGCCGCCTTGGCTCCAGAGAGCTAGGATTACAGGCTTGAGCCACCACGCCCGGCTTTTTTTTTTTTTTTGAGACAGAGTCTCGCTTTGCTGCCTAGGCTAGAGTGAGTGCCTTGGAGTCAGCCTAGCTCACAGCAACCCCAAACTCCTGGGCTCAAGCAATCCTTCCTGCTGGCCTCCCAGAATGCTAGGATTATAGGCGTGGAGCCACCACGCCCGGCTAATACTACATCTTTATATTTGTTTATATTTCAACTGTGAGTGAAGTCTTGTATGGTCTGTAATTGTGTAAGTATTGATAAATTTTAAGTTTTTATAATAGATTTGTACATACTTTATGGTAGAAAATGATAAAATAGACTAGTATCTACATATATTTTATGTATTCATAACATACCTAATTTTTCTTAAGTTTTCACTATTTCTAGCCTACAAGTTTCACTGTGAGTTTTCAAATTGTCACAGATCTCCAAAATTTTCCAATATATTTTTTTAAAAAGCATCCACACGTAAGTGGACCTGCACAGTTCAAACCTGTGTGTCAAGGTCAACTCTTTTTAAGTTTTATTTTATTTTTAAATTTTTTATTTTGTGTTTTTTTTTTTTTTTTGAGACAGGCTCTCGCTCTGTCACCTGGGCTAGAGTACATGCTGCAATCATAGCTCACTGGAACCTCAAACTCCTGGACTCAAGTGATCATCCTGCCTCAGCCTCCTAAATAACTGAGACTACAAGTGTGTACCATGCCTGGCTAATTTTATTATTTTTTTGTAGAGATGGGGTCTTGTTATATTGCTCAGGCTGGTCTCAAACACCTGGCCTCAAGCTATCCTCCCTCTTTGGCCTCCTAAAGTGCTAGAATTACAGGCATGAGCCACTGTGCCTGACTTTAAGTCTTAATTTTAAATAAATATATTAAATAAATAGGTGAAACTCAGATGTGGCAAAAATTGTAAAAGTGGTTCTAAAATGACTGAGGTTTGGGAAACACTAGATTCACCCAAAAGAATGAGTGATGGTGAAATTTCACGCAGGGGGGTAATTAGTATAGGAAACTATTTTTTAGCAGATAAGCTATTTTGCCCCCTAGACTTCTATGGGGGATCTAGGCCAGAAAGTCTTTAAGGTGGCTTTCAGTTTCTTTTGTTAATGTGGGCCTGGAAAATCTTTCATTTAAGTTCCCAGCCAGAGTCCAAGGGGTCTTCCCTTTTAAGTTCAGTGTAACCCCACAATGAGAACTCCCAGGCCTACCTTAGAAGATCTCTTCTTTTCTGCTTCTTTTCTGCTGATCCTTTTGAATTTCTTGTTCAGAGCTTCAAAGAGAAATGGAAGGAACAAAGCCAGATGTTTCTGGGGGCCCTGAGTGGCAGTGAAGTGGGAGGACAAGATGGGGCCCTGGGAAGTCTTGGGGTCAGAGAGGAGGGGTTGACTGGATGAGTCACACCGTGAGACTTAGGCCAGCAAGTTCTTGTTAGCCTGCCTGCTGATCTGGAGCCAGGGACTGAGGGCAAAGTGTCCTCTGAAGGAAGGCAAATGGGAAATCCAAGGAGGCCCTAGTCCTGTGGCATTTGTGAGGGGTCTGGTCCCTTGACCTAGTTGGTCCTGGACCACTCAGAGCCACCCCAGGTTCCCCTTCTTTAGTCTCCAGTCTGGGTGCAAGAACTTTGTGACACCCAGAAAACAGACTTAGTATCATGTACATGGATGCACCTGTATTTTCTATGTTCCTATTTGTCCATTTCTCAGAACTTTGGAGCCAGGCAGACCTGATTTGAATCCTGACTTTGCTGACAAAACAGCTGTGTGGACTTAGGTAACCTATTTAATTTCCTTGAGACTCAGTTTTCTCATCTGCAAAAAGGGTTCTGTAATACCTACCTTATAATGTTGCTTTGAGGATAAATGAGATATGTTTATAAAGTGAAAAGTCTGGCACATTGAAGGTGATCAATGAATGTTGATGCTTCCTTTCCCTGCCCTTACTTCTCTGATATATCTGGAATATCCTCTTTTCCTAGTAAAAGGCAAGGCAGTAAGGAATATTGTTAATAATTTTAAGCTTAGTTTCTATATTTAAGCACTTGGATTTGAATTCTGGCTCTGTTGATTAAGAACTATGTGATCTTATGCTAGTTACTTAACTTTCCTAAGCTCAATTTCCTCAACTGTGAAGTATGAATAAAAACAGTACTCACCTCACAGTGCCTACTGTAACACACACAATATGTGGGTTATTATTAGGTGAAGTCAACCAGAAGATCTCCAATGCCAGGCTCTAATGCCCCTCATATTTTTCCCTGAACAGTCATTCTTAACCCTGGCATGAAAGGACTGGTTCATTCCTGAAGTTTGTTATTATTGATAGGAGTTCTGTGATTCATTCAGTCTAAGAAATGCTAAGTTAAACCAAGTTCACCAAGTATCTTGACTTTAAGCTTTTCCAGAGCCTCTAACAAGCTAAACTGCATATTAGATTAGTGACATTTGGAAAAGCAGTGCTTTTCCAAATCAAATGAGTCAAGGGACACTCTATTCCCCCATGATTAATTCAGGGAATGAGCAAGAAGAAGCTGTGACCATGGCAGTGGGTACTGATAGTAGCCCAAGGAGCAGGCTTGACATCCTGCAGCCCCTTCTCATGGGTCAGAGCCCAGAGGCAGGTCCCAAGCCAGGTGACTTACCCACAATAGAGACAGAAGAGAAATCCAGTAGGTTCATGGAGGAGTTGCTCCTCAGGACCCTGTCATCCCTGGGCTTCTCTTCAGGTGGTAGGTGGCTGTAGGTAGTGAAGAAGCACATGAAGACCAGCAGGGTAGCCAAGAGCAGGCGGGTGACATCCATCCCAGGAAGCCTGAGTGGGACAGAGAAGGTGGTCAGGTGGGTGGGCCAGGGGGAGTGTCAAGAGGATGTGCCTTCTTGCTTTGTTTGTGTTTCTTTAAGCTGGTGTTCTGACCCCATTCTGCAAGTGGAGCCAGAAGACTAGCAAGGCTTAGGATGGGGAAAGGGAATTGATGAGGGAAGAAGAAAGAAAACAGGAGATGGGAAGAGGAAGAGAGAAAGACAAGGACAAGAGGGAGTTGAAGCAAAGAGAAAAAGAATGCATTGCATTCATCTCTGCTGTCCAGAGGGTGCGTTCTGGTATTTTTTAAGCTGGTGGCCCCAGGAAATGCTAGGCCTGGGCAGAGTTGTTGAAAGGCCTGCCTTGTAGTGGTAGAGGCTTCATGAAGGTGCAGAGAATAAGGCTAATTAAGACTCAGTGAGAAAGTTGCAGGGAAAAATGGCTCCTTTAGACTAGTGTGTATGTCTCTAGGCTTCCACATCCAGAGGGAACAAATGCAAGCATGGTTTGTGTCAGGAGGATGGGCCTATGGACATAGGCTAACTGGACTGATTTGTTTATTTGCTAGCTGGATTCTGATTGAGGAAGATGGATCTCACAGTGGGTTTCTTCCCATGAGTGCCTGGGTTTGCCTCAGTCATGGCTCAAAGCTTCAGCAGCATTTTTACCTTCTTGAGTATGGGGTCCCTACCTCTCACCCTCATTTCTACATTTTATCTCTGGTCTGGGAAAATACTGACACTGCCTTTTCAAGGTTCCCTCTACTCTAGCCATAGGCCCTGTAGGAGAGAAGAGAATGAACAGTTTGCTCATGCTGGTCTTGCCCACCCCTGGGCTTCCCCTTATAGCAGCTTGGCCATTTTCTATTCTAATTTTCTCAGTCTTTAGCTGGACAAAGTCAAACTTTCTGCATGTCTGTTACATTGCAGGAGGAGGGGGTCCAAACAGCCACCTCACAGCCTCATTCCAAGCTTCTTGAAGTTGGAGTGGACAGTCAGGCCCATCCTACGGATGGAAGAGGAGCTTGATCACCTTCTTCAGGTAGAAGGAATTCCCTGGGAGGGAATGTTGTAGCCTTTTTTGTGTGACTGTGTGAAAGTGTAGGGTTCCACGGCCCCTCAGCTAGGGAACTTGACTGGGTCCTCACCTGCATATCTGTGGCAGCCTTGTATGGCCTAAAAGTGACCCACTCTCCAAAGGGGGGTGACCTGGCCCAGGACTTATACGGGTGCACCTTAGCCAAGACATGCCTAAATCCCTGCAAGGGGAGCAGCCAGGCAGACAATTAAAAGACCTCCCCACCCTTGTGTGACTCCATTCACAACTTCATCATGGAAGACATAGAGTCCAAGCCCACAGTCCTGAGGTGCATGTTAAAGAATTTAAGAAAGGATTTTCAGGTGACTATGGAGTTAAGATGGCTCGTAATTGCCTTTGCACACTCTGTGAGCTTGAATGGCCCTCCTTCAGAGTCAGGTGGCCTGATACCCGCACATTTGATGTCCCAACTGTCTGGGCAGTTTGGAGAGCAGTCACGAACACTCCAGGACACCCAGACCAGTTCCCATACATAGATTCTTGGCTAGAAATAGCTCAAAATCTGCCTCCCTGGGTTTGGTTCTGCACAGAAAAGGGACAGAGTAGAGTTCTCTTCGCCCAGAAGCCTGGAGGAGCTAGACGTGGATCAAGTCCCAAGAAGTCAGATGTTAAAACTGTCCACCAGGGATCTCCAGAAGATGTCTTGATTCTGGCTCCACCATATAATCCCACTGACTCAACCCCAAAGCCACCACCACCTATGGCCCCGGACACCCCACCACCATCTGTCTCAGCACCTCCAATGCCAGAGCCATCCTGGTGGCGCACTGTCTCTGTTCTGCCCAGAATCTGACTCTGGCCCTCCAATTACCAGTCTGGGAGGTCCGAGGCCAGACCTTTGTGGTGGATGATGGAACTGTCCAGCCGGACAGCCAGTCCTCTACTATCAACCCTTTTCTACCACAGACCTCCTAAACTGGAAGCAACATACTCCCTCCTACACCGAGAATCCCTTCTACATGGTGTTCGGGGCTAAAAAACCCACTAATATGAATAAGGTTGCTCAGGTTACACAGAAGGCAGATGAGACGCCTAGCGACTTCTATGAGCGTCTCTGTGAAGCATACAGGTCCACACGCCGTTTGACACCAGGCACCAGAAAACCAATGACTGGTAAATGCAACCTTTGTGGCACAGGACTACCTGGACATACACAAATTTGGGAAGTTGGAGGGTTTCGCTGGAATAAACATCACTCAACTGATGGAGGTGGCCCAGAAGGTCTATAGATATCAGGATCGGGTTGCCCAGACAGAAAGTGACAAAAAAAGAGACAAAAGGTCTCACTCCTAGCAGCAGCACTTAGAAATCCTAAGGACCCCCAGAAACCTGGCCAACACCCAGAAAGAAGACATTGAAGGAGGGGGATGCTGAGACCAGACCAATGCGCTTATTGCAAGGAAACTGGACACTGGAAAAATGAATGCCCCCACTGGAAGACTGCCCTCCCCGCCCCCAAGACAGAACTCTCCCCGAGGCTTCCAGCTGGAACCAGAAACTCAAGATCTCATTGGACTTGCCAGTGTTGGCTCGGAATAGGGTTGACCGGGTTTCTTCAGCCTTGTCCCCCAGGAACCCATGGTTGTTATGGATATGGGGGGCCAACCAGTGACTTTCATGATGGACACTGGAGCAGAACACTCGGTGGTGACAACCCTGATAGCCCCGTTCACCATTCAGGAAACAACTATAGCAGGAGCCACTGGGGACCAAGTTGCCCGACACTTCTGTCAAGCCCGAACTTGCCAGATAGGGGGGACATAAAGTGACACATGAATTTATATACCTCTTGGACTGTCCGATCCCTCTACTGGGGCAAGATCTCCTACATAAATTAGGAGCCCAGATCACCTACCATCCAGAGAGTTCAGCCAGTCTCTTGCTCCGGGCCCTGGGATCCCTCATAATAGCAATCACAATCCCAAGAGAGACAGAATGGCAATTACATAGCAAAGCCAGAGAGGAAAACAATCCTCCTGATTTCAGACAGGACTTTCTAACAGTCTGGGCAGAAGACCACACCCTGGGCTTGGTACACCTGTGGCCACCTGTGATAGTGAAGATAAAGCCGGGAGCTCAACCCATGAGAAAACGACAATATCCTATCCCAAAGGAAGCCTGGGAAGGAATCCAAAAACACATAAACAGGCTCCAACAGGAAGGTATCATCACAGAATGCCAATCTCTCTGGAATACTCCTCTGCTCCCAGTGAAAAAGCCCAATAGGAGCTACTGGCTGGTCTAGGACTTACGGATGATAAATGAAGCCACAGTAACTCTCCATCCTGTGGTGCCCAACCCTTACGCTCTTTTGGGACTCATTCCGCCAGATGCTGTGTGGTTCATTCACCTGGATCTAAAGGATGCATTCTTCTGCTTATGTGTGGCACCATTAAGTCAGCCTCTCTTTGCCTTTGAGTGGGAGGACCCCTGCACTGGGAGGAAGAGACAGCTCACATGCACATGAATGTCACAGAGCTTCAAAAACTCATCAACCCTATTTGGAGAGGCACTAGCAGTGGACCTAGCCTCATACCCAAGGGAAGAGTTTGACTGCACTCTCCTGCGATATGTAGATGATCTTCTCCTGGCAAGCTGGACGGAGGAAAGTTGCCATCAAGCCACTTGGGCCCTACTCCAGCTGCTCGCCGAAAGAAGATATAAGGTCTCCTGGAAAAAGGCCCAAATCTGTAGAGAAAAGGTTAAATACCTAGGTTTCCACATCTCCCAGGGATGGAGAGCATTAGGACCTGAACGGAAACACACAATCTATACCAGCCCAAGACCCCCAAATTGGAAACAACTTCAAGAATTTCTGGGAATGGCAGGATTCTGCTGCATCTGGATCCCAGGACTCTTATTACTAGCAAAACCACTCTACGAAATCCTATGTGGACCTGAGGCCAGAAAATTCAAATGGGCAGAAGAAGCCTTTAAGGACATAAAAACCTTCCTACAAAAGGCTCTAGCAATAGGATTGCCAGACTCCACTAAGGACTTCAGTTTGTTTGTGCATGAGCGAGAACGTGTGGCAGTAGGGGTCCTGACTCAAACTGTGGGTCTGTGACAAAGGCCTCTGGCATATCTATCCAAGCAGTTAGACTCAGTGGCATCCAGATGGCCTTTATACCTCTGAGCACTGGCGGCCACAGCAACCTTAGTTAAAGAGACCGACAAACTCACTCTGGGTCAACGGATCCATGTGTGGATCACACACCTGTTATAAACCTCCTTGATAACACAGAACACCAGTGGCTCTCCAGCAGCTGGTTAGTCCAATATCAGGGACTATTGTGTGAAAATCCACAGATAACCCTTGAAACTGTAAGGACTTAGAACCCGGCTATCCTCCTGCCCATTGAGCCAGGACTCCCAGACCATGATTGCATGGAGTTAATGTAAGAAGTTTATGTCAATAGGCCAGACTTCAAAGACAGCCCCCTGCCGGCCCCAGAATTGGTGCTTTTCATGGGTGGCAGCAGCTATGTCAAGGATGGGAAACGAAGAGCGGGCTATGTGGTCACTACACATGAGAAAGTGATCATGGCAGGATCACTGCCAACCGGATGGTCCATGCAAAGAGCAGGGCTATGGGCTCTGATCCAAGTCCTAAAACATGCAAAAGAAAAGAGGACAAACATTTACACTGACTCAAAATATGCCTTTGCCAACTTACATGTCCATGGAGCACTCTACAAGAAAAGGCGGCTACTCACTATGGGATGCAAAGAAATCTAAAACAAAGAAGAAATTCTCCAATTACTGGAAGCCATATGGGAACCAAAGGAGATTGCAGTTATTCACTGCTGGGGGCATCAGAAAGGGACAGACTCAGTGGCCACCAGTGACTGGCTGATCAGACAGCTAAAGTGCAGCTCACCAAGAGCCCTCTAAAGACAACCCCCAAGGTATCA